CCCGAAGGTCCATAACGGCCGAAGCCAACATACACGGCCCGAAGACAAAAACATACTTTCCTTAATTAAATCACGTTCATCTAATCCCTTACTTTCCATAAATTCTTTCAATTCTCAATCGGTTTCTATAACATTTTCATCTTAACATTCTAATTTTGGTCGAATTAAATCTACATATTTCACATAAACATCTCAATTAAACATGGCATCATTTCACGCAATCTAGTATGTAAATATCCTATGAACTCATGAACGTTCTTCGATCCTTGAGAACCACCTCGGGAACGACGAATGAATTTCCATAAATGATTCCACTAACGCATGATTATCATCCTAACAAACCAACTATAATAAAAATACTAATTATTAATTTGCCAAGAATCATACCCTCACCTTGGCTGAATCTCTAGGATTCGAAGACTCTGAACTTCCTTCCATTTCCTGGTGAAGAACTTCTCTGCTCCTCCTCGTTTGATCCCTTTTCTTGAAATCTTCTTTTTATAACTTCGTTCTTCCTCTAACTTCTCTCTAAGTTTGGTTTATCTAGTGTGTGAGAAATGAAGGCTTGGGATCTCCTTTTATACTAATTTCTGGACTTGATCACCAAGTCGGATATTTAGTGTTGTTTCTTTATTTAGCTTGGTCAAACTTTGCCATCAATACTCGAAGAATCTTTACGCTTCTTTCCTTATATAAATCTCGTTATCCTGATCTTTCTTCCATAAAATTCCCCAATGATGACTAGTCAAACTTTCCTTAGTTGGAACCTACATTGTCCAGAAGCCAAACATTCATTACTTAGCCATGCGGTCTCGACATTTCCTTAGGTATGCTCCAATCATTTGATCGTTTTACAATCACTCAGACCATTTCAATTTTTTTCCATAAGCTCACTAATGATCCGAAACTTGTCAATGTACAACTTATTCTTCCAACTTTCATGGATATAAGTTTTTTCACACTTAAAAAAATAGACTCCTTGTTGAATTAAACCTTTCACTATTTATTTCCTTTAAAAAATACTCTGGGAGTGGGTTGTTACAACTCTCTCACACTTAAAATAAATTCGTCCTCAGATTTTGTCTCGACCAACTGCCAAATAAACAAAAACTGAACAACTCTGGAGTTGCTGCATGTATCTTGCTTCCACACACTTTAACCGCTTATTGGATCTGATATTTAAGTTTCTTCCATTCCACTTCTCCTCGATAACTTATATCTTGAGATTTCATTCCTCCCCTACTTTGGTCCAACATTAATGGTATGACTGGAACATTTTAATACTTGAGTCACCTATAATAATGAAATCGAATATGCTGACGACAAATGCTTCTTCTAGGTTGCATCGTGGATCTCAAAATGCAGGGCTGACACATATTTTCCGTGCAGATACTATCTTTTGTCGATCACCTAATTCTTCACTCTATGCACTCCAATTATCTGAATCGCCTTGATTCACAATCTTTTCAGCGCTGAATGCAATCCTTTTGTTTCCACAATCGTCAGGACAAACATGCAATATCACATTCATAGAACAATTAATTCTAGTCTTAGATGAATCCATGCAAAACTAATCCTAACTGAACTTCACTAACACCAACATATCTAAATGCACTCTTCATGAACCACAAACCTTTCCTTGATGCATGTCATCCACCATACCTCACATAATTTGGCGTTAAACCATTGAATGGTTGAATCAACTTAAATATAATTTTACTAACGGTGATTCTTACCCACTCATCCAACCAGGTTTGTGATCGTGTTGAATTGTTCATCCTTGGCTAATTGTAATGATCATAAAATTTTCTTGATCCCGCCCAACGCTTTCCTCAGACACTGCATTCGCGAACCCAATTTACGTTCTTCTGATAACTCGACTTACTTATAGACACCTGGGCACCGATAGGAGTTTTCCTAGATGTGCTGGCCCAGTGGAGTCGATTAATCATCTTCTTTTTGAATGTCCACCAGCCCTGCAGGTTTGGACTTTATCGGACTATCTGTCCCTTCCGGGTAACTTCCCGAGTACATATATATACCAAAACATAAACTTTCTGTTTTGGGAGAGAAAAGAGGTGGGTTCTTTGAGACCACAATTCGATACCTTCCTATGGATCTGTTGGTACATTTGGAAGGCGAGGAATGAAAAACTCTTTAATGGGAAAGTCGTTTCCCCGATTGACACTCTCCAACACGCGTCTCTTGAGGCAGAATGTTGGAGGAAAGCAAATGAAAAAGAGGAGATAAACAAGGATCATGGCAACCCTACAGAGGTTGAGATAGCGCCCCCTTAAATACCTCGAATCCCTACATGCCAAATTGATGCGTCATGGATCGATAATGGCAGCGTCAGTGGCTTAGGATGGAGTATTTAGGATCAAATGGGTTCTGAAGTCTTCGGATTACATGCGTGTAAAAGGAGCCTTTCAGATTTGCATGCTGAGATGGAATGTTTACTTTGGGCAGCATCATGTATGCGAGACATGAGGATAACTTCGATACGGTTTGAGACGGACTGCTTGGACTTAGTTGACATGAATACAAACCCGGAGGATTGACCAACTTTCACGACAGAGATCAAAGTGTTCCAAAGATTACAAGAGGATTTCGAGGATGTGAGTTTTGTCCCATATTCCTTGGAATATGAATGGTCGAGCGGACGCACTAGCAAAAGAAGAAATGATCAGAGGCTATATCTTTTCCCATATATATCAGACCCGGTCAGACGGAGGTGCTCCTCGGATAATCGGCTCGTCTGACCACCACTTGATCTAATTTAGATGGGAGGTTGACAAAAAAAGAAGAAGATAACTCGACTTACTTAACTTCCTTGAAAATCATGCTTCCATCACCATTCTACACATATTGAAGTTTAGTCAGTACCTCTCTCTGCAAAAAATATGTTTCTGTGATGGTCTTAAGAATAATTTGTACTTGTTCTCGATCAGCTGCTTCGTTCTTATTATTGATACTTTTGAAACATCAAATTGTTTCTCCATTTTTCTAAATTAACATCTTTCATTCTTTCTGTTGCGCTACCCTGATAGTTCAATTAAGTTAACTCAACATTGATCCAACCTGTCCATTCTAAGTGCTTCTTTGAACCATTTATCTAGTAGCACGATCAAACCATTAAATTTATATGCACTCCACCATCATTGAAACATCTTGATAAATAACATGCGGCTTGTAAATCTTCATGTATGATGTCCGACCAAATCTGATCTCTTCCTCGAACCCATTCTTATGTTACTGACAACTTCATGCCCTACAAGCAATGCAACTTCTATAGTCGAACAAAGTTTGGCTTTCACAACCACGCCCCTAACAGGTAGATCGACTATGTCCTTGTGTCCAGCTTGTGTATCAATGGTAGCACGTTCCACCAAGACCTCTACCACACACGCGTCTTTCTTGCACTTTCGTTGATCCATTCAGCTTTCCATAAGTGTGCTACACCGCCATATGATCATCCAACGCTTCATAATTCTAGGAGACATTATCTTCTTTCTTTCTCGGTAAGATTTATCTCAGCATCTTTAATAGTTTTAGCTAGCCCGGTCATTAACCATCAATCCATGCCGACGATTGCTTTGTACATTCTATCATCCTATCTACTCATTTCGTAATGTTGACATATCTTACTCCATCACACACAACTTTAAACATATTACCTTTGTTGGCTGAACCAACCTGATACCTTCCTTGCCTACCATTCGAAAAATTTATATCCTTCATAAGACTTAAGTTAGTTTTTACTAACTTTCTGCAAACTCTTTAACACAATTTTGCTTAGCCATTTACTGAACAGTCCAATCATAAACACATACCAAGAAATACTTTAACAAAATCACACAACACATCCATCGCGCGAGATATAGACCATCGGTTCTTTTCCACCCTTACCCACAATACTCATTTTTCGAAAAACAGCCAGCCAGGACATAACTGGCTGGCCAACCCCGCTCTAATACCAAATTGAAACACCCCGACCTGGAAATATTTTGAAAAGCAGGTTGAAAATTCTAAGTAAAAATCTGACCAATTTTATCGGATGAATACGAAGAATTACTGTAACTTTGTAAACGAAATCCGAAACCAATTACTTAAAATCCATACTGTTACAATAAGATGGTTTGATCAAAACTCCTAAAACATTACTCCAATTTAAAATACTCTTTACTGATGGTCTTTATAGCCTCGCGCTCTGATTCACATTATCAACCTTACCTGCATCCGCGAAAAGGAGGCACGAGTATACAAAATAACTCAGTGAGGACGCTCAAAACCACCGACATGCAACTCAATTTAAAATAATTAATGGTAATGGTTAAACATATATTTTTAACACTTTAAAATACATATATTTTAGACCTTATAGACTAAATGTGTAAAGTTTATATGATATTTGAGAAATATTATATTATATAATTAAAAATGTTTCTAAATTTTTTTTTTTAAATTTAGCTAAATTATTTTAGAAAATGTATTGATTAAAAAGATTACTTAAATGTAGATTAAAGTTTATATGATTAAAAATATTTAGCTAAATTAGATTGAGGAAATGATTTAATAAAATAGGAAAATACAATAATTACTTAAATGTAGATTAACTTAATTATCAATGGTAATATTGTGCAAGTTTAATGGTTAATTTAAATTTATACTTTTATTTTAATAGATTAGATGTATTAGTTTTTATTAAAGCAAACAAAGAAACTTGGACAAAAGAACAAGAGAGAGTACTTTAAAATTTATGTTTCTCATTAAGAAAACACCCAAACTTACTAGTTCTTACTTTAACCGTAAGTAACTATTTCTAGAAACGAAAATAAAAACTTTCCCATCTCTATTTTTTTTTTTTTTTTTGTAAAAGTAAACTTTCCAATCTTATCCAACTAGTAACAGTTACAACCAAACTTATAAGATGCGAATACGATCAAACTTAAAATATACAAGAAACGACCACACATAAAATTGGATAACCTGCAAAGCCCTCAAAGATCAAGGTACATAGAAGTGATGTCGTTCTTGAATTTTCCACCAGGACGGGTATATTGATCATCTGTTTCGTAGCTAACAAACACCATACGTCCACAGGTCGCCATTGCGTTTAGAACTTCGCGTGGCACATTAATTGGCTTCAAAAGCTCCTCATTTATCATCTTTTGAGCGTCTGCAACAATTTCATGAAGCTTTCTAATTGCTTCTTCTTCTGTAACTCCATATTGCTTCTTATAACAGTTTACCGAGTTCGTGACATATCCTCTGCTCATGTCATCCTAATCAGTGTCACACATGTACGTAAGTTTGATTATCAAATAAACAATATATGAATTACTAGAACAGAAAATTAGCTTCCCCTCATTGGTACCTTTAAGCCAAAAATATCATTCCTCACTCTTCCTACTGTATGCATTAATANATATTGCTTCTTATAACAGTTTACCGAGTTCGTGACATATCCTCTGCTCATGTCATCCTAATCAGTGTCACACATGTACGTAAGTTTGATTATCAAATAAACAATATATGAATTACTAGAACAGAAAATTAGCTTCCCCTCATTGGTACCTTTAAGCCAAAAATATCATTCCTCACTCTTCCTACTGTATGCATTAATATCGCAAGCTTGTCTCTAGATTTCAACCACGCAACCGCTTCTTCCTTGCAGATATCTTTCATAGCCACCAAAATACCAAATAAAGTAAAATCCACAGCAATCTCGACTCCAGCAACTTTTAGATACTCGTCAAAACTAGGGACATGACCCGCTTCTGACCATTTAGCGAGTTGGAGATTGGCTCTCGTGAGTCTCTTGAACTGCAATGCTCAAAATGTAAACATTGTAATATTACGTTCTTCAATTATCATTTGATATTCATAGTCATTCTCGTTAGCACATGCATTATATTATAGTAACAGGAAAAAAATACTGTATGATTACCTCCTCAATTGTAGCTTTTAAGCTGTAAGATCCTCCTAATTCTGATGCCACTTCTCTTTCAAACTCTTGGAAAGTATCGAATATAAATTTAATCACAAATTTCAAATAATTTGGTTGGCCATCCATGGGATCATCGAGATCCCACCTGCATCATCATGTATATACATACATCATCAATTTCTTTTCTATCTTTTAGATGTGGATCAGAACTCACTTCAACGAAACTTAACATCACGTATTTTCTTATAAGTATCATGGGGAGCTATAATTTTTTTAGCATTGTTTTTTAATAAATACTAGGATAAGACCCGCGTCTTGCGCGGGATGAAACTATTATTTTTATTATGTTTTGAAAAATGAAACAATAGTTCGGTTTCATTCGGATTATAGGTGTTCAATCCGGATATCGGGTTTCGGTTCGGCTCAATTTTTTGTCCGATTTTTTGGTATTTCGATTATTAAAATATAACTACTATTCTAAATCTATATGTACTTCAGTTTGATTTGATTTATATACCATCGGTTTTCAGTTTATTCAATTTTATACCAAAAAACATAATTATTTAGTTTGAGATCATATTATATATTATACAAATATATAATATGATCATATTTAGAGTCATATTGCCACAGTGTCATTTATTAAAAAATATTATATATTTAAATAAAAGAATAAAAATAAAAAAGGCTTCTATCTGCTAATAAAA